AAAGGTAGCCTGAGGGGATTTTTTCCCCCTCTCCAATGTTTGGTACTGCGGGCTCTGTGTTAGCTAGGAGGAGGCCAGAGAAGAAAACCTCAGTGTCTGTGCATTTGGGGAAATACATCACTATTGTGTCCCTTCTACAGATGAGAAAGCCCCAGAATTAGAGAAATGGATGAAATGTTCCTTTCTTTAAGGAAAGCTAAATTGGATACCCTCGTAAAAGTATTGTGCTATATCATAATAAAGCAAGAGAATTCCTTGGGGATCAATCCCAAAGATTACCTAAGTACATCAGGGCTATCCTAGAGGTACTTTGAGAATAAAAATGTGAGTCTTAAGTAATGATTTTTTCTTTTTCCTAGAATGAGCCCCAGGTGTCTGCAATTAATTTGACTTAAATTTAACAGATTTCACTCATTCAGAAATTGCGTCTAATTCATGGTGGCTGAATGTAATTAGCAGGTGTTTCCCTTTTATTAATACCTAGACTTATTCAAATATGGCTTTGTAGTAAATGTCTAATTTGGAACTATAATTATACTCATTAATTTAAAATATTCAAAGTATATATAAAGTTTCCCTGATTTCTTTAAAATACTATTAATTAGTGATTTCTATAAAAATGTTGAATTCTTATTTACTATTTGTAGTTCTGGGGATCAAACCCAGGACTTTGTACATACTAGGCAAGTGCTCCACCATTGTTACATTCCCAGCTGCATGAATCTACACATCAATGTTTTCCTTATTCTTAGAAATAATAGACCAATAAAAATGTTTTATTTGATTGTGAACTTCATTAGGTTTAACACCTCAGTGAGCATGACCATTCAAAAAAATCATGATGTATCTTGTTAATAAACAAAAGCAAATACAAGGGCAAGCTTATTTAAGATAACATAACTTTATGATATCAATGCTAATCACTATAAGAGAAATGGGAAAATGACACATTTTCTTAGTACTTTCTGGCTACGAATATGTCATTTTTTTCCTATTAAGCATTAAATATCATAAGATCAAATAAAGTCATCTAAGTTTCACAAAATTTTTTCAGAAGCTGGTGACACAATTATTTGTAAATTAGTGGGAAACTTCAGTTTTCAGGGAATTTCTCTTCAGACACACAGTTAGGCCATAAGCTCTCCATTGTTTGCAGATCACCATTTTTGGTGTTTTCTGTTGAATGGCAGGGAAACTCTGCATTTATTTATTTATTTATTTTCTAAATGTGTGTATGACTTGCCTACATGTATGTAAGGGCACCGATGTTGCACAGTACCCTCGGAGGCAAGAAGAGGGTGTTGGGTCCTCTGGAACTGGAGTTAGTGGTGGTTGTTGGCTGCCATGTGGGTGCTGGGAGACAAAACCAGGTCCTGTACAAGAGCAGCCAGTGTTCTTAACCACTGAGCCAAGTCTCTAACCCCTCTGCATTAAACCCCTATCTGACCCCCTCCTGTGGACACTAAGTGTGGTGAACAAAGTTGCCAGTCTTAGGTCACTTGAGCAGGTAATATAAGTAAACTGAGCAAAAACAACTCTGCAGCAGTCAGCAAGCAAAGTCATTCTAAGCTAAAGTTTAAGGCAAAAGGAAGAGGAAAGAAGATTAGGAAAACAGTCCTGGGTCATCCTTCACTGCTGACATTATCATAATGTAATGATTCACTACCTTTTGACACCTTATACCAATATAAGTTAAAAAATGTATTCCAGGAGCTGGAGAGATGGCTCAGTGGTTAAGAGCAGTGACTGCTCTTCCAGGAGACCTGGGTTTGGTTCCCAGCATCCACATGGCAGCTAACAACCATCTGTAACTCTAGTTGCAGGGTATGCAACACCTTCTTCTGACCTCCCTGGGCAATGCATGACATGGACACACTTTACATACATGCAGACAATACACTCATACACATAAGAAATATATAAAATAAATAAAAATATTTTTAAATGTATTCCAAAACAAAATTCATCGGAGACCATGCTGCCTGGCAGACCTCCCTGCCCCCCAGGGCAAGCAGCCTCCAGAGAACTTGCTGATCAGTCCTCCCTGCCCCCTAAGATAAGCAACCCTTCCGATGAGTTAAGATAAGTTTGAACAACCACCAATTTCCTTAGCCTGCAACCAGACCATGGCGCCAGGTCCCCTCATCCTAGGGACATTCATTAACCCATTGAGACAACACCTTCCCTTCCCCTTCCCCAGCTAACTTCCCTCTTCAGCCCGTATAAAAATCCCCGTGGAAAAATAAACTTTGGCAGCTTGATCAGAGTTCTTTGTCTT